TTCTACCTCTACTGTCACAGAAACCTGTAGTGAGACATTTTTGCTTAATAACCTAAAAGCAATTGGGAGGGGAATGGGGGATATGATTACTTAGCTGCTTACCAGGAAGTCAGCCCTGCACAAGAGAGAGAGGAGAATGACTCCAGACTGGGATGAACCTATTGCAGTTATATTTAAATCTGAGTATTTCTAGAGTGTTGGGCTGAAAATTCCCCTGAACGAGTAATACTGATTTTAAAGTTAATTCTGCTTTTTTCTTTTTAACTTAAAAAAAAAAAAGCACACAAAAAAAACCCCACCCCAAAACACAAACAAACAAAAAACAACCCACCTAGAACAAAACAAACAAAAAAAATCCACAAACCCAAACAAATGAGTAGCAGATACTGAGGATCACTGTGTAGCAAGGGAGGCTCTTGAAACAAAGAAGCCTGCAGACATTCATTTCAGGACAGAATAATTCTTTACAAGCTACATAATTTCCTAAAATATTTGAGGCAAAAGCTGCAGGTTTCCAAACACTGGAGTTCTCACCATCTGGATGCCTTAAGCAGTGGTCCATTTTACTTGCATATTCCATGAATAAACTTCCCTCGATATGAAAGCAAACAACTTTTCCTCCCATTTCCTGGTTGTGCAATGACTTAGGCAAACAAAAATAAACATGTAAGGCTTGATTTGGACCAAGGGCCACACTGAGGGTTGGATTCTCATTCAGCTTAGAATCCCATTACGACATACTTTGTTTTCCCTTCACAATAGAAAAGCTTGGTGTTACCACTTAGAGCCACATCTTGATACCCCAGCCTGAAGTGATCTGAGATATATTTATTGCTGTAAAACATTTCTATTCTTCCTGAGGGGCAGGACGATCCTTTACTATTGTATCCAGACTTTTCAGTGCAGCAGAGGAACAGCAACCCTTCCCAGTGGTTTTCTCATTGGATACAGAAATTAAGCAAGTCAGCAGTCAAGACCCACCTCTGCATCAGATGACAAAGATCAGTTGGTTGGTTACACTGGTTTTCCCTACTGGGAACACACAGGTCTCATAATTACTCAGTCCCTAACAAGACAAAGTAGAAAATTATGTTCTTTGGGAGGAATGCAAAGCCTAGCTGGAGTACACAGACCTTGAGAGTTAAGAGTGAACTCGCGGCAAAATGTCATCAAGTTCAAGGTCAGCTGGAGAACAGCTGCAAGACTATCACCTCAAAGTCTTGTCAGGACCTCAGATTTCTTGACTTGAAATGTTACTCAAATAAAAACTCACACGGATAGATGCTTTTTATGACTGAACGGGGTGGGGGGGGACAGCTGTGTATGAAATCCCTGAACTAGTTTTAAACAGCAGATTCTTACAGACAGGAGGTGTCAGCTGGTGAAGAACTTACAACAACTGTCCTAAACAAACCCATCCCTTCTTCAGGGCAAAGAACCTTTTCCACATTTTGGTTGCAAAGTCAAGCTAGCAAGGGAATAAAGACTTCTTTAACCA